CTTCCGCCTCCATCTCGGGTATGATTAGTCCCGTTTGATGCTTGTTCCTCCAGGCCTGTAGGGGTCCTGCTGGGACTGGGATATCCCCCACCGGTCCAAAGGGGGGGGGAACAAGGGCCCATTTGCCAGCCGTTTTCCCTGGGGTGTAGCTGGGGAGCGGCCGTCTTCCCTGTGCCATCCACGCTTGTAGGCCACAGTCGCCTTTCCGGTGATTTTTGCAGGGGTGGTTGCATGCTTGGTATTGTGTTCCCTGCGAGTTCACCTTTTTGTAGGCGACCCTGCTGGATCGTTTGGGCGCTGTTTGCAGCTGGTGTGTGTTGATTATTGCCTGATGGAGCAGGAGCTGTTCTCACAGTTACTTTTTTTGTCATTCAATGATTTTATCATTTTCAGATCATATTGTGCTTTTATTTTCCTGCTTCATATACTTTTTTTTTCATTGAAATAGTAGAATAGTTTTGATACAGACCATTCTGTGTCTAAATGTAGGGCTTTGTATGCTCAATAAACTCATATTGAATTAGCTGAATATTGAAACAAATCCCACATTTTATGCTGCATATTTGAATTATCTCTTCATGATCAAAAATCATTTTTTCTATTCTTCTGTTTTGAAACGATGCACTTGAAAGACCATTTATACTCCGTATTCTTAAAAATGTCTTGTTTATCATTTTTTTTGTGAGAAAGTCCATATTGCTTTTAATGTAACAAAAAATGCACTTTCTAATGTTCTTTAACCTTATGCCATTTGGACTTGCTTTTCCAAACAGATGCATTTGAGTAAGTGGCCCCATTAACATGATATTTATGAAAATGTTGAATTTTACTGAGACTTCTTGCTAGATATGTCTATGCTGATACTGAAGCCACTTTAAAAGCAAAGGCTACTGAACAGATCTTGACTCCAAATCAGCGCCAGTTCAGAGCTTTCTAGTGTCTAAGTAAAGCAAATCCCAGACTATGTTTATTTAATGTTAATCAGCATCATTAATGTAAAATATACGAGAATGAATTTTGATACATTTTATGACTGTAGTTATAGATACTAGAAGGTGAAATTAGAGGATATCTTCTAGTGGGGGAAATTGATGAACAGACATTCCCTTCTCGTGACATTCTCTCATCTTTAATTTATCTCAAATCACTAAGATTTCTATCCTACAGAATAAACAGTTGGGAATGAACCTACAAGTAAAAGAAATGTTGCTATTTTCAACTTACGTTCAACTTACAGTACTAAGTAAAAGTGCTAAAGAAGGAGAAAGGCGCTAAATATTTAAGAAAACTGAGATTTGCGTCATTTACATTTTCAGGTATAGTAGTAGTTATTTTTACAGTTTTCTTTATAGTTGGTTAGAACTGGTTTAACACTGTCAAAGTTACAAAGATGTAAAACAGTTCAAGTCCAAATGGCAGGACAAAGATAAACTATATCTTTCACATTACGAAAAATTGTCATAGAAGAATGTTTCAACAATGTTTATCTATTCTAATATTTTTTACTGTACTTTTGTAAATTTGTACTTTAACTTTTGTATATTTGCACTTTAACTGGTAAAAAACAATCAATATAGCATGTTTTATTACACTACTGTGACAATTAGTGAAGATCAATTCAGCGCAAATAGCACAAAATAGCACACTAAGAAAGCACAATATATTGAAATATTTCTAATTTGTAAATATATTTGTGCAATTTTCAGATTTACAAAACACTATCTGATAAATAATTTGATTGAAAGACATTACAAAAAGTTCTGTAATTATGTTGTATTGATTTTGTGTTAATAGTAGTGTAACTATTTTATGAAGAAACAGAAGCTCCTCTTATGTTATTCTCTTTATTTATTCCCTCAGCAGCAAAGAAACAATGAGAGGAAAAACATATGAAAGGGTTAACAAAATATGCTTAGAAACACATAAACCACACAAGAGAGCATACCCTATAAAAGACACACCCCAATCCCAGAAGCCCCTCTTTCTTTGTTGCTCCCCATCTAATTTTCATCTTTCAGTGTATTCATATTTTTTACTAACCTTTCTGCGGTGATTATCTTTCCTTGTCTTTAAGGCTGTGGAAATGTACCTTCTTTTTAATTTGTCAATCTTTCTTTTATTGAGATGATAGCGTTATACAGAAGTAAAAAATATCAATGAAGAGCAATACATCTTGGCATCATGGTCAACATACAGGTTTAGTCCTGAATTATTCCGAGCAAGATAGACATCTCTCTTTTTTTTTGTGTGTTAGGGAATATCACAGGCTGGGTAACAGGCTACAGATATGCGTCTAGGTTGATAATATAGCACATAACTACACAAGAATAAACTGCCTAGACCAGGGGTCGGCAACCTCTGGCACGCGTGTCACGCGGGGTGCATTTGAGCAGCACGCGAGGCTGCCAACCGATCTACACTGAGGGAAATCGGAAGGGAACTTGCGCAGCGGCGGAACTTCCAGCATCACAAAAACTTACAATCTGGAGTTCCGCCTATCAGGCTACTCTTACCTCAGCTCCAATGATCTCTGCCTCGCCTCCAGCCCTCCCACTCTGTCAGCAGCATCCTCAGTCCCGCCTCCTGCCTTGTCTTTAGCCCTGCCTCCTGCCTTGTCTTTAGCCCCGCCTCCTGCCTTGTCTTTTGCCCCACCTCCTGCCTAGTCTTCAGTCCCACCTCCAGCCCTCCCACTCTGTCAGCAGCATCCTCAGCCCCGCCTCCAGACCAAGCTTCAGCCCCGCCTCCAGACCAAGCTTCAGCCCCGCCTCCTGTCCTCCTACTCTGTCAGCAGCATTCTCAGCCTGGATGATTTATTTACAGGTCAAATTTACAGCAAATCTGTGTGGGGCTTCTTGTTTATGTGAGCCAGTCAGAAGCAGTAGTGATCACAGGGATCACTTCTGCTCCTGACTGTGTCACAAAATCAGAGATTGCCTTGTCCCTTGTGTCTGCCACTGCTACTACCCTTGTGTCTGCTACTACCACTTCACTGTTTGCCTGTCAGTCCCTGTCCCTGAATACTATCAGGTAAATTGCCTTAATTTTCCTGGTGCCAGTGCCACACTATTTTTGTTACAAATAAATGCGCATCAGGGCATACGGGATGGTCCCCAAGAGCTGTCAATCTAACTCAAGTTAACTTTACTGTGATACAAAGTATTATTATACTGTCAGAAAGACCATTTATATCGCATAAATGTTAACTTGTGCTAGATTGCAAGCTGTACAGTCCATTCCCTGGGTGCCCTGGTCTCTATATGTAAAGGCTTGAGGGAATAGCCCCCAAAAGCTTACAATCTAAGTCAAGTGAGCATTTTCTAATTATGTAAACCATACAAACAGAAATACTAGCTTGAGTTAGATTACAAGCTCTTGGAAGCCATTCCTGCAATGTGAGAGACTAGGAGAGATCAGATATGAAGTGTGACAAGTAAACTCGACTACAATGTGTTACATTACACTCCACCATTCACACACACAAATCACACTCCGCTGCCCCCCATATCACCAAAACCCTCAAACAAATCACACTCAGCCAACCATACGCACAACCGCTACCCCCTCCACACACACACATCACAATCAGCCATACAATACAGACATCCCACATAATTCCACTCACAGTAGTAGAACACTGATGCACTCTGAACCACATAACTGATTTTTATTGCTGTGGAGCTCTGTGATGAAATTATGCACTCACTTTGATGTGAGTTGTATCTCTGAGGGCTCTGTGATATGTTCATACACTGCATTTATTACTTTCATATTACTGTGATTGTTTTTGCAGTTGAGCTGTGTAAAACTCCTTACATACATGAGCATTTTATTGCTGTTGGGCTCTGTGATAAATTCAGCGATGCATTTACTGTGAGGCTAACAAGATATTTGCCTTGGGCTGCACTTTTCAAGGGATGGCAAAAAATACCGCTCCAAATGCCCAGGCCTTGTTAGCCTTGTTTTATGGGGGCCCAAGAGCTGACTGGTTAGCCAGTTTTGAACCCCCGTGGGGAGGACAGCTAGTTGTTTTCCATGTGGGCCGCGTGGGAGCACTGATCTGTGAGCTCTTCCTGCTATGCTCCCTCGCGCGCTGCTTAGTATTGCTGCGAGCTGAAATATGACATCATATTTCAGCTCCCGGCATCACTAAGTGGCATGCAAGCGAGCTAAGCAAGAAGATGACAGCTCCCTCGCTGCCTACTTTGCGAGCCTGCCTGCCTGCAAGCCCATCTGCCTGCCCGCCCAGCAGCCCCACTGGACCCCAGGTAATTAATCCACCCAGCTTTCTCAACAGTAATGAGGCTGGGTAGATTTAATTTTTTTTAAGAAATAGCAATAATTTGTGAGTGTTGGGGTAAAATGTGTGTATGTGTTTGTCAGTGAATATATGTGTGTCTGTCAGTGAGTTTGTGTTTATATCTGTCGGTCTGTCATTGAATGTGTGAGTGGGTGTGCCTGTAAGTGAATGTGTGTGAGGGTCAGTGAATGTGGGTGGATGGGTGTGTGTGTCTGTGAGTAAGTTTGTGTATGTCTGTCAGTGTGTGTCTGAGTGAGTGTGTATGTGTTTGTCAGTGAATGTGTGTGTCTGAGTGATTATGTGTCTGTCAGTGAGTGTGTGTGTGACTGTCAGTTCATGTGCACTTCTGTCAGTGTGTGTCCGAGTGATTGTGTGTGTCTGTCAGATTGTGTCAATTCAATTTAAATGTCAATCCAGTGAGTGTGTGTGTGTATGTCAGTCAAAATGTATGTTAGTCTTTAACAGGAAAGGTGGGGAAAATTTAAATTAGAGGGTTCCCAAGTTCAACATGCCTTGGGCAGCACAAATGCAAAATATGACACTGAATACATTAATACACTCCATACATAGTTTGAGACCTGTGATAAACTGTCAACTGAGCACTCTCAGTCAATCACTGTCTTAATCTCTGGTATGGCTTGAGATGGAACGCTCTAAATCATTATTGCAGTAAGGGAGAGGCAGCCAAATCTCCCACCTGGAGCAGCCTGTGCCAAGCCAAACACCAGCTGTCCTCCCTCCTTTGGACTTGCGGGGATGATCCCGGAACGGACCCAGGAGGTTTCTCAGTGAGCTGGGAGCACACGACACCACCACAAAGCCGACACCATGTGGCAACTAAAATGGCAGCCACCGTGTGTGCTTCTGACCCAGGCAGTGGGAAATGGGATGTGCAGTATCGGCTGAACCGGCTCTAACGCCTTTTGGGAGAAGCTGGCAGCTTGCCTGGAACCAGTGGCCCCAGCAGCAGCGATCACCCATAGGGTCTCTCACTCAGGAAGATGCAGAGGGCAGTGGACACAACACTACATCATGCCTACATCCAAGCTGGTTATGCTCTACTGCACCAGAGGGGCAAAAGGAGCAGCAACTCAGCCTGTTTTTAAATCTTTGCTGCATACTGCTTATGCCTCTAACTGGGACTCTGACCTGTTGAAATCCAACTTATGGAATTGAATGCATCAGAATTATGGAGAACAAAATTTGAAGAAATGCAGAAAACTCTGGAGGGAAATTGCACAGATAGATCAGCTGTAATTGTGCAATGTTGGACCAGTCTACCTAAAAAATGTATCTGCTTAAAGAAAATTGCATTTGCGTTGCTTTCAGCCTTTGGGTCAGCATATATCTGTGAGCAAATCTTTTCACACATGAAGATCATTTTGAATCCGCATCGAAAGTGTCTCACAACTGCTCATTCAGAAGCCTGTGTGAAACTTAAAGTTACAAAGAATGTTCCTGACATAGAGAAACTAAGCAAGGAAAATCAAGGACAGGGATCTCACTAAGTTTGTCCTGTAAAAAATAAAAAAATGCTGTTGTTGTATGTTCTTTATTACGTTTAAAAAATATTTTCAGCAAGTGTAAATGTAATTAGAAATTACATTAAAAAGCAAAAGACAAATCAGTATGATTAGTTGTTCTCTTAAAACAGACCTTCTTTATTTGTTATCAATAATAAAACATTTAACTTTCTTAACCATGCATTCCTCCATTCCAACCATGCATTAAATTCATTGCTGGCACACCAAGGGACATCAAGGTTTTATTTTGGCACAGCACTACCAAAAGGTTGCCTACCCCTGGTCTAGACTAAGGTGAAATTAAGACGGGAGTATGAATATAGCAAAACGATCAGATAGAGTGCTAGCTGAATATGCTTGTTAGCTTGAGGCTATTAGGTAACAGGCTATCTATATACATGCCTAGTGTAAGAGTAGATTGTGAAATATGCATATTTCGCTGTGGTATAGTGTTCAAGAACTAAAGTATATGATTTTTAGGTACAGGGAACAAAAATGCCAAGCTAAACCCGCTTGTGTAATTATTGAGTATAGTGTAGACTAGAACTAGGTGTGCAAGGCTAGTCAATATCATAAGTGTATAAGTAACGTATATTAGTTAAAGCTCTTGCTAATGAATGAGGATACAGGGACAGCATGCACTAAAAAATACAGTGTGAGACCACAGGGTATACACACTATATAAGATTAGGCTTGCAGAGTCTCTTCTGTTCTCCTGCCATCATCAGGAAGATGGTGAGGACTCTGCATGGGTCAGCTGATGCCACTTATGTTCCAGGGCAGGTAAGTCTGCTTGATACCGGGCTTCGCTTCTGGTCCTTCCGTCTCCCTTATTCAATACTGGCATTTGTAGGCCTGGATTCCAGCGTGCCACTTGAGAGAGGGTTCCAGGTCATGCTGGTTGTGCTGAGGATGCTGGAACCAGGTGTTCCACTTTCTAGGGGAGCTGTGGCTGGTACGTGGCTTCTTTGTGGGAGTTACGCAGCTTCTAGGAGGTGAGGCGCCCCTTCCGTCCCTGTGCGTCTTGAGAGCTGGGACCCTCTTGCCACGAGCCTGGGTGCCATTGTGGCCCAGGTTCTTCCCTGTCGGGATGGCGCGGTGGATCTCCTTGTCTTTTGTAGATTGACGTCGGATGTTCTTTTCCACCTGCTTGTGTGGCTGGGACCTGTGGGTTTTGACACTTGTAGCTCTCCGCCCGGGTGGGCGTGTGAGGTATGGGGCTTTGTTGCGCCCTGAAGAGGTTTCCCAAGCCTCCTCTCGCTGCTAACTTGGTCCCGTGCAGTCGGTGTGTGATTAGTTGTAGCTGACTGTGTGCATGCCAGCAGTGCAGCCCAGAAGCGGTCGAAGATTATGTCTAGAGTGTCTCTTACATTGTGGCCAGGACCTGGTAGGCCACATGTAGCTGAGTTTGCAATTTTGGAGACCTCCGCTCCCAGGTTGTTCGTGAGATCTGCGGGACTCACCAGGGGGTGTGGGATGTGGGTTGCTCCATCTGGCGGGGACTGGGACATCCCCCACCGGTCCACAGGGGGGGGGAAGTATTCCATGTTCGTCTGTGTCTCTTGGCTTTGGGAAGGAAAGCAGCTGCCTTTCCCCCTCGCCATCTCTAGTAGGCCCCAACCTGCTGCCACGGTTCACGTTCATTCCCGGGTGTCAGGTTTGGTGTCTATGGGTGCATGTAGGCTTCCCCAGTCCATTTAGCTGTGTTGTAGAGGAATTTCAGTGCTGCAGCCCGAGAAAGTGTCACAATTAGAGCCCGTGCTGCGGGAGCTTGTGTGAGACACGTCTAGTCCGCTTGCTAGTCAGGCTCTGGCCCCCCTTCTTTTTTATTTTAACCTGATGTATATTCTCTTTACAATTTCCATTTGTTTGGCTTGAGGAATGCGGCAGAGTGGCAGGAGCTGCGGTTCTCGTCAGCCGCCACCTCTCTTTTTATCCCCAGGAGCTTGCCCGGTCTCTGCCCCCTTCAGAGCGCTACCACGGCTTCTGCATCTTGTTTGTGGTCCGTGCGGCCGCCGCATGGACATATTTTTGGTGGTTCCATTTCGGTGCATGTTGTGGCACTTGGAAAACTGAAGCTATAGCTGGTGCTGAAGGCGGCCTCCCTCTTCTCTCTTTCTGCTTCTTCCCTGGTGGCAGACCGACAGCTCCTATCTCTTCTGTCCCCCTTCTTGTAAGTCAGTGCTCTTCATCAGGCCTATTTTTCGTAGTTAGGTAGTTCTATTCTTAGGGTTACTCAATACTGTTTGCAGACTGTTTAGGGTGAACTTTTTTACTGGGAGTGGCACTTTGTCAGTGACTGCTGCTGTCACTGGGATACTTGGGAGTCCATTTTGCAGGAGGTTTGTTTTTTCTCCCTGCTTTAACCGTGGATTTCACCCGATGATCAGTTTTAAACCTTTAAATGCATTTATTCAATACCACAATTTCAAAATGGAGAAATAAAAAGTAAGAATCTAGCACTCGATAATATCAGGTGCAATGTGGGTTTATTCAGCCATTAAAATCGCAGGCAACGTTTCAACACAGTGTGTGCCTTTATAAGAACATTACCTGCTGTTTTGTTGGCTAATTAAACCCACATTGCGCTTAATATTACCAAGTGCTGGAGTCTTATTTTTTATTATTGATTATTTTGGAGCAGGGATTCTGACTTCGGCATAGATTCTAAAATTTGGACCTCAATAGTGCCTACATAGGTCTACATATTTATGACTATATTTCAAAATTGAAGGCATTCATTACCTTCTGGATCTTCTCCTGTCATCAGATTGGATGGTCAAACTGGAGCTCAAGGACACCTGTCTGACAATTCCTATTGCACACCACCACAGAGAAATTCCTCCAGTTCATATGGCGTGACAAAAAGTGGAGGTCCACATGCCTAACATTTGGTCTGTTTCCCGCCCCTTGGTCCTTCACCAAGGTCATGAAACAAGTGGCTGTGTTCTTTAGAAGTTGAGGGGTCTGGACCATCATTTATCTTGATGATATTTTTGTTTGTCACAATCCATGTCCCTTCTCTGTACTCACCTGTCATGGATGATCCCGTTTTTCTAGAATCTGGGTTTTCTTAGGGGAACCAGTGGGTGTGTGTAGGGAACATGGCAGGGGGTAACCCTCACAAATATGTGATGAGCTGTGTAGCCCGGCGGAGTAGGCTTGTCATTTCCATAAGTTAAATCACGGGGCATATATTCTATACGGTCCCCAGACCAGGTTACCATAGCTACCTATTGTTTTGTTGTATATATTGTATACATTCAATAGCCTTAACCCATTGCACAGTTTCTGGGCATCCCCTCCACAAAAAATTGCTGTCAGTGAATGAGTAATTTGTTGCCCAGGCTTCCCTATAAAGAGCATCGGTTGATTTGGATAGGTTATTGCAGCAGTCTACACGTCTACAGCGTTTGACTCAGGCACCTATCCATTTGTAGCTTAGTTCATCTACCAATATTTTCTAGATGGCAATATACTGTTTCTATCACACACAATAAATGATATGTTATTATCATTCTACATGACTTTAGGATCAGTTTTCTAATAAAAGTTATTTTTTATATTTTGGAAATACAGCACAGATCCCTTAGGAACCTTCTTCTTTGTGACCCCTGGCTCTTTTTTCCCTCCAGGTATCATCTGCTCTTTATTATTGCCTCCTACACAATATATCAATCATAGCATAATACATTCGGGGTCTGACCAACAAAGCAGGAGATTGAAACTTGCGCTACCTCACTGCCTCAGGGATTTCTGTTTCTGAAACTTGATCACCTTTGAGGTCCTTTGGATATCGATCATTTTGTTACCCACTTAAATTCTTATCTCCTACAATTCTTCAGCTGGAGACCGGATCCGGATGCACTAGCTCTCTATGTAGACAATATGCATTTCCTCTGTTTAGTATCATTTTGAGGGTCCTCCTTCACCTTGAGATGTAGACAATATGCATTTCCTCTGTTTAGTATTATTTTGAGGGTCCTCCTTCAAAAAAGTTGATCACTAGTTTCTGGTGGTCTCAACCATGGTTCACATTGTGGCGAAAGCTGCCTCGCCACTGGACATTGGAGAGGCCTGGCTGCCCGCCTCTACCTGCTGACTATGGCCCCTTGTGAATTTGTACTTTTGAATGCAATATTTGGGCATGTGGTATTTTATATTGCTGCTACTGGCCCTTTAAGGGCCATCCGTGGACATATGACTTTTTAGGAACAATATCCCTTTAAGACTTTGTAGCAGATTACAGTAAGGATGTGTTCGGCTAGATTGTATATGTATATGCATCATTCCCCTGATTGTTCGGTAGAATCAGTCCATTCATTATATTGAGTGAAACTACCGAACAACCAGACCACCCAGGAATAAGTGTGCCTCCAATTACCGTTTGCAACAATGTTGCAAATGGGTAATTGGCAATCTATGTAATGTGTTCTTTGTCCTCTGGGTGGCCGCCATTCAGGAAAAGAACACGTGGCAGCGGCCATCTTAAACTCCCGAACAGCGGTGTTTTGCCGTCGAGTGTCTGGAACTAAAATCGGACACTCGACTAGGCAAACACCGCTGAGACCTCCAGACTTCCATGAATTAGTGTGGAAACTACCGAATGACCCGCCGTTCGGTAGAAAGAACCCCATGAACAAGGGAATTCGTTTAAACCCTCCCCAGGCTCTGTAACCCAGGCAATTCGTGTGTTTCATTCCCTTTTCTGTGACCGACTGCAGGGCCAAAATACATGGAACTATTTTCTGATACTTTTGCCATGCAGTCGGTCAAAACTTTAACCCTCCATAATTCCCGAACCCCTGGTCCGATCTGGGTGATTTTTGGATATGTGTCTCACCCAGATCAGGGCTACCAGGGGATGTAACATTTAAAGGGGTATCCCTATGTTTAGGGGTACATCCAGTATCCCAAGGAATTTGTGTCTGGACTAATGGGATTATGTGTCACACTAAGGGGAGGAGATGTGTGGGAGGTAACTGGTACATTATTGGCTGGGGTACTAATTGTTGTGGATCCCTCCCTTGCATGGGAGAATGTCTTAAAAGGAGGTGGTGTGAATAAATCTTCAGATTCTGCTTAACCCTCAAAACGAAGTGTCGTCTCGTTATTGGGGGAATTGGATTGTATGCTGACTGCCAGGAGTGTAACCCTTTCATATGGTTTTCCTGTTCGGATATGTCCAGTGTTCCTGTGTTTCCAGTTCGGGAGATCGGTGCTTACAGTAGTTGTCGGTGTATCTGGAAAGGGGAATATCGCCTAAACGGTTTTTAACCTCTGGTGAGCAAAACGGTCCGTTACACACATGCCTTGTGGAGATATCCTAGAACCGAGGTGATGAATCTAGGACTTCTGCATCTGATTGCTTGGCTGATTTCAGGAGACCCTGGTTGATTGAGTGAGTTCCGCAATCAACTCACCTTGCTGATGTTTGGGGCCCAGACACCAGATGCTCTTATTGCTTGGCTTGGCATGCCTGGTCTAGTTGGTGCATGGGAAAGAACTTGAATCTTGTATAAGCTGCTTTAAATGCAGTGCTTTGATTCCTCACTACTCTCTTTGACTGTTGTAGGGCATATAGGATGTTAATCTTTATATGTCAACTATTTTGGCCGATCATGAAGCTCTTGATGGATCTCTGGTTAGTCATCACCCCCTTGTTGTCCACTTCAAAAGGAGATCCATTTTGCTAGACCTTCTGCACCTCAATTTGCAGCCTTTTGGGATGTTAATGTGATTTTAAATTTTATAGCCGCCTGGCACCCGAATTCAGATCTTTCTTTGCAACATTTGTCAGCTAAACTCATTGTGCTTCTTTGTTTCATCTCTTGTAAATTGGTGTCTGATGTGCATACTTTAGATATAGAATGTCAAACTCGTGCATGCGGCCCACAATGAATATCTTTGCGGTCCGGCAAGCCGCGAGTTTGACATGCTTATTTTAGATTGTTATTTTTTGTTGTCTTTTATTGTTATCTTTTATTCCAGGTGGTGTTAAGTTTGAGATCTCCC